GGGGGGGTTGAACAAAGGAACAGAAAGCCCAAACAAAAATAAAGAAAAAGAAAACTAAAAAGACATCAATTGCACAGAAAAAGCTTCATCTAGTGTAGCAACAGAAATACATTCCTACAATTAAGAAAACTCAACCATGTCTATCAACAATTTTTCAAATTTAAAGAGATCAAAAAAGAAAACCACAACAGCCGTGAAACTATAGAATCAACAGAATGAACTCTGGAAAGCTTCATGTAGTGTAGCAATAGAAATACATTCCTACAATTAAGAAAATCCAACCATGTCTATCAACAATTATTGCTTGTTTTTATAAGGTAAATTTTTCTTTCAAAATTGTGAAAACTCAAAATAAAATTTTAGGTTTTTTCTACGACGGAAAGATAAGGTAATTATGGATAAACAAGCTTAAGTTAGCAGACTCACCAATCAAGAAAATTAGAAGAACCACAGAAGAAAGCATTTGAACAGGTCGATTATATTTCATATAATACTGAGACCGTTGCAGCTGTCGTTGCACTGCTCCATACCAACCATTGAGTTGCTTCTCATAATTTTCATCGCATCCATCAAGGCAAATCTTACTCCTCTCATAACATGTGTTGATGCCCTTTATTGAAAAATCAGATTTAAGTAAGAATTAAAGGACATCATTAATTGATGAAGTAAATATAAAAGTATTTAGAAGATTAACAAATCAAATCCCTTTATTCAAATTTATTTGACCTCAAAAGGTAAAACTATATGATTTTGATCATGATTCGTTAGAAATTTTATATTCAATAGTTTTACTATAGTCCTTATTATAGATAGAATTCTTAATCTAGTTTTTAATTGTTCAAGTTTCATTTTCAAATTTGAATCCACTAGTGTTAATATTAACATAAATTGTTAAATCTTGAAAAAGAGAGTCAAATTATGTCACATAAAATAGGACAGAGGGAGTCATCCATGCCGGATACTGCAGAAAAAAATACACACCCTTGTCAATGGCTGAGACTGCGGCAATGTACTATCAGCTTCTTGGTCATCATCGGGATTGAATTTCAACTTCCTGTAACCATTCTTCGACCACTTCAACTTCGTTGCAGATTCCATGCAATTCAACAGCCCTTGAATACTGGGGATCTTGCGAGTGGATGGTGCAGGTTGTTTGCCGTAAATGTCATCAGCAACTGCGATCTTCCAAGCACCAACGTCAGCACAAGCACTTGCTGTCTTCCTGTGCCCTGAGAACTTCTCATCCTCAATGTGACCCGCGTCCACTAAATGAGACGAACTCTTTGAATACTCTGGCATTCCTTGCTTACAATCCTCTTCCCACAATGCTGGTTTCTGCTCTGCTTCATGAACTTTTACAGAGTTTTTCTCTGCAAAAGAGGAAGAGGCCGGCGGTCCTGAGAGAAACGCAGCCAGTTCATTGAGTTCCCTCTCATCTAAGCGCACCCATTGATCTCCTTGTGAAGTAGCTGATTCATTTAGACTCTTCTCTACTTTCTTAATTTGATTGTCTATTGCAATAACAAACTCACGGTGCCTTTCTTTAGCATCATCAGTTGAAGCATTATCATAGCTCGAACTAACTGCCCGTTCAAATTCCTCCAACTGCATTAACAACCAAAAATTCAGCTTTAATCTTTCTATTACATTCGACAATTACACCTCATATGAGAGTATACATGTAAATCAATCATTTCTTTTCAGGCCTTTGTCCTAGGGTGGAATATAAAGGATCCATATAGCCAACCCCAACTAATTTGGGATTGATGTGCTTTTTATTTGGGGGCGGGGGAAGGGTAGTACCTGCCATTTAGCAGTGCCAAGGGTAGTCCTTAGGTCTCTGCATAGCTCATCCGAATTCCAACGACCAGAAGTATCCTTCAATGCATGAATCCATGTTCTATAAGTTGACTCCATCCTTTAAAAGGAAATTAAACAAATATATCAATGAACATGGCAAAACCCCACAAATGAAAAACCAAGAAAGGCTTCAATCTTTGCACCACTACTCACAGAAAAATTCACACAGAACATATTTATAACTAAAATCTAATACTAACTCTAATAAAACTAACCTAAACATACCAAAATAATAAAAATCAATTAAACATCACATATATCCTTTCCACTCTATTAGAGCTCATTTCATTTTTCCAATACTATTAAAAAAATTGTCTTTCAATGAATTTTAGGGGTTTAAAAAAACTACAAAACAAATTAGAAATTTTTCAGGAAAAGGAAATTACAAAGGAAATGTTAAATTACCTATCAGCAGATTCTTGAACCTCTTCTGCAGCAGAAAAAAACGGATCTTTCTCCCACCTATCGAAATACGACCCCATATCCTCCAAAAATCGAATTTTTACAAATAATTGGCAGAAAAATGGGAGAAAACCCAAAATTGGTTCAATTGACAATTACTACGGAAAATATTCTAAGAGATTATGATTTTCTAAGCAAAACAAAATCTACGAATATTGAACTAATCCAAGTAAACGTAGATTTTCATTTGCTTGGATCAAATTTAAAGTAGAAAGATGTTCTAGAAAAGTACTAGTAATTGTGATTTCATTTTTATTAGTTGGGAAGATAAGATAATGGTTAGTGGTTTCCGTAAAACACATGATTTATTTAAATTAATCGTGCCACACGCGTAAGAGTTTCCAGGAAGAATGATTCTGTTAAAATAATTTTTTAAAATTAATTTATTTTATTTTCTTTTTGTTAGTTGAAAAAACAAAAACTCACCCACTATGACCTAAAAAATATATATATCACCCACTACGTCCAATTCAGCGAACACGAAACAAGAGGGATTTAAAGTATTCATTTTAAATGAATTGAAATGTCTAAATTAAATTCCATGAAGTTGAGGGGCCGAAATATCAAAACAGTGTAAGCATAAGTCTCTATTTGACTCTGTCCAAAGTAAATAATTTTGACATGTTGAAAATGTGTTGTAAATCTAAAAGACAAATAAATGAGAAATATACTTTTTAATCATACAAATTCTACATAAGATAATTCACACGTTTTCAATAGAATGGCTAGCCGAACATAATACTGTATTAGCGTGGTTTGAATGACCTCTCAGTAGGCTAGGGAATTAGGCGTGCGGTCAAAACAAGTGTGCATAAAAATAAGGGAAAGGTTCTCTGTCCGAGTTGGTTGACTATAGCTGTGAATGGTGATTTTATGCAATTTTGAGGTTTGGACTTTGGACTAAAGAATAAACAGTGTGCCGCTGCCTTCTTGTCACTTTGTGGTTGTTACCTAGTGAAAATCAATTTACAAGGAAATCAATTGAATTAATACCATAAAATTCTCTTAAACTATTAATTTGTTGTGAGTTACTTACCCCAAAACTCCCCAAATTATATCCTCATTTATATTAAAACCCTTCGGTTGAATTCTTAGAGATGTGTCTGGTATACATTCTTAATTTATTAAAAATGTACCATGTGGCACTACACGTGGCTATTTAACTCAGCCTAAAATTTTTCCAAACTATTCGTTGTCCCCAAAATCCCCTTAAACTATATTTCCCTCTATATTAAAATCTCCTCGTTGAATTCTTAAGATGTGTCTGATTAACTATATTAACTTTAGTTTGTATTAAGTTTTTGACAAAGCTAACTACTCGTTGTATATTACTTTCAGATACTGATTCTGAGCATTTTTTGCCAAATCCAAATACAAATGTGTTAGGTTTAGCTTTAATTGTAGTTGTGGTATGTTAGATTCCAATTGAACAAGTCTTTATTTATATTCATTTTGCAGCAAAAAAATGAAGGCAAATAGTGTTGCACTTCTAAAAAAAACCTTTTTATATTATAGAAACAAGATTACACAAACTAGCATTCCATAAACAAGAAACCAATCGGCCAATGACTGCATTTTCTAATTCTAAATTATACAAACAAGGTCCAAGAAATTCAACTTTATTCTCTACAAAGTATTGAGTTTAATAAGAAGATTTAAATATGTGTTATTTCAATAATATGGGTAAGAAATAAAAGAAGACTAAAAAAAAGAACAAACAATTTTAGAAGAACAAGAGAGTTGAAAAATTTTCAGAGGAAATCTATATGGAAAATTGAAGAGGAAATATGACAAAGTGAGGAAGAAATGTAAAAAATGAAGAAAAAAGGTGAAAATGAAGCAAATGAGGAAGAAAATTATTTTTTTAAAAAAAATTTAAAAGTGTATGACTAATTAGTCATTATACACTGTCATGTGGGCTATTTTGATGACATTTTTTTAGTCTGCGCACGCTTTTTGGCAAGTTATTACACATATTATACTAGGTAAGCAACCAGAGTTTTTAATATGAAGGAAAAAATAGTTTAGAAAAGTTTTGGGACACCCTATAATTTAAATAGGTAACTCACAAAAAATTGATAGTTAAAGGTTTTTTTTCTTGTTTCTTCTCTAAAATTGACTGCTGCACCTTTGTCTTTTTGTCGATTATTTCACTTCAGAATATGGTTTTATGTCCTGGAATGCTCTTTAGCAGAAGCCTTGTGCTCTAGCATCGTCCTTCTCTTTTTTTATTTATTTATTTATTTATTTACTAATTTGGTGTTCGATATCCATTTTGGGATGGATACGGCTAATTCAGATTGACCTCAAAAAATTAATATTAGGAGTAAAGCATTTTCTATCAGAAGCAACTTTATTTCTATGACTAGAACTTGAAAATTCTCGTTAAAAATAGAAGACTACTTACCATCTTATTGTAATTTTTAGTGATGCTTGTTCTTCNTATATATATATTAAAAAGGAAATTTATATTTTATTATCGTGTTATCATACTTAATTCGGTTAATGATCAGTGCAATCATGTTAGAAACTTTTGTTATCTTATCTAATTATTTAAATACTACTTCGGCTCTGGCAAAAAAGGAAAAAAAAAAAACTACTCCATATAACTATAAAACTCTTTCACATTTTAAACCCTATACTTATAGTTCTTTAAAACACTATAGCTAGATTTGAATAAAGCAATTTTTAAAAAAATAAATGTAATATATAGGGTACACGTCTATGTTCATCCAGATAACAAAAAAGAGTTTTAAAATCGAATAAAAGTTTACTTACATATATAATGAAGTAAACCTACATGCTGAAGAAAGAAACATCACAAAATTAGTCAATATTAAAAAAAAATTGTTTTTCTTTTTCTTTTTGAAGAATGTTACTTTGAAGAGTCAATTTGTACAAATGGACATCAAACAAATAACACAACTGTGGCTATACAATTGCTATTATTAATTTTAATTTAGCACCGTTTAGGAATTTAAGGGTATAAGCTGAAACCTCTTCATTTAGCTGCAATCAATCTAATATTATAAGGGTATAATATTTTTTTCGTTAAAGAATATTAGTTTTGAATCATTAGATTATGTGAAAGATTTTTTTTTCTCGACAAGAGGGATATTGGTTTCTAATTGATAGTTTCTATACCGATTTTCAAGTGTAACAAAAGTATATTTCTAAAAAAAAAAATTGGTATGATGTAAAATATTTTTTAAAAAAATGTAAACAAATTATTCGAAATGAGATTATATTTTAAAATATAATTTATTTTAAGAATAAAAATATAAGATATTTTTGAATTTTAGTAGAGAGTTTTTAAAATTATTATAATAGAAGTCATATCATGGATAAAATCAAGAAACCGAAATCTTATGGAATATTTACATAAATATCCGGCCAGATTTATTGTTTACTTCATATAGCTAATATACATAGATGATATACCGAGAACACACGCTTATACACATATTATATATGGATTATATATAAATTATACACCCTTCAATTTTTTAATTTAAGTGGTTGGGTGAGTACCTATTTAGGTTGATTAGATAAAACCAAAAGAAAAATATGAAATAAATTCAATCAAAGACTAAAAATATAAATAAAGTTCTTATGTAGACAATTTTTATTAAAACTCATCCTTTTATAGTGAAATAAATTATTATTTTTGTAACAAAATAAAGAAAGACATAAAAAATAAGATAAAAGAAAACAAATATAGAACAAAATGTATGAAAAATCTAAAACAAGAAATAAGAGATGACAACGAATTTCTTCTTTTGTTTCATCTTTGTTGAGTATAAAAAATTTGGAAGCCGATCTCATCGATTTCAAATATTATTTTCAACTCAAATACATAGATTATAAGATAAGGATATCTTAGTTTTTTTTAATTTACATTGTGTGTCGATTTTAAAAAACCACTATTACTAATAAACTGATATGATATTTGAATTTAAATTTAAATGCAATTTGAGTAGTTTGCATTGAGGTTAAGCCAAGTATAGTATCGAGAAAAAACTACTTGGCAATTTTAACACAATATATGCAATATTATATAATAATAATTAACTAATTTAACATTTAATTATTCAAAGAACAAAAACTCTGTATACATAGGATATTCAAAATTCAAAATATGTGGCTAGAGATATCTATAAACTCAAAATGGAGTCATACTAAAATAAAATTTCACCAGCTAAAGAATTATTTAAATTTTTAGATAGTACGTTGATTAAGGTAAATTTTAAATTAAGGATAATATATTCACTTGCATCATTATAAAGATAATCATTATTGAAATATATATAAAATATTAGAAATTGAAATTTTAAAATAGAAATATTTTTTGAAAGATAACAACATACCAAATAAGAGTTCACGTTGTAGTAAAAGAGTCACGTCGTAACCAAAGAATCGTTCATATTATGTCAACCTTTGTGCTTTGCCATAAATACGAGTTATTATTTGGCTTTATGGCTATTTTTAGGTTCCAATGACACCAATGAGAATGATGCAAAAATAAAATTATCACTACGAGATTTGAGAAAATTGTTAGTCTTTTTTCATGTAGTGTTTCTTAATTAATATCTAACGAGTATCTATAATTATCTAGAAGGTTTAAATTTTAAGGTTATTTACGTATAATTCAAATAACTCAGATATTTAACATGGTTAATGTCAAATATCAAAATAGAGTCATACTGGGAAAAAAGTTTCACTGGCTAAAGAATTTTTTAAATTTTTAGATAGCCGACTAAAATGAATTTTGAATTAAGGATAATATTTTCACTTATATTATTATAAAAATAATTATTATTGAAAAATAAAATTTTAGAAACTGAAATTTTAAAATAGAAATATTTTTTAAAAGATATCAACACACCAAATAAGAGTTCAAGCAATAGTAAAGGAGCCAAGTAGTATCCAAAGAATCTTTCATAGTCTCAACCTTTGATTGTTTTCCATAAATATGAGTTATTATTTTGCTTCCTGACTATTTTTAGGATCCAATAACACCAATGAGAATTGTATCAAAAAAAGAAAAATAGAATTATAACTAGAAGATTTGAGAAATGGTTAATCTTTTTCATGTAGTGTTTCTTAATTAATATCAAATTATTATCTATATTTATCGAGAACGTTTAAGTTTTAAGATTATTTATATATAATTCAAATATTTGATATGGTTAGTGTCCGCGCGGGTGCTAATACTAGTATTATAATATTTTGATAATTTTTCGTAAATTTTTATCATCTCTTTAGCACCAAACACTTCTGCGG